TCCCATTTTTGTCTGACATGCACCGGTGCCCCTGTGTGGCCCCTTGGTGCTGAGAAGAGACAGGCAAGGCGAATGAACGTGCTGGGAAGGGCTTGCAATCCCCGGAATGGTCGCAGAGAAGGTCCCTCATCAACAGATGCTCTGGCACCGCCACACTTGTGGCCTCCATTCAGCTGGTTAGGCCCTCTTTTGCTATCTCTTTAGCCCGAAGTCTTGAGACCTCGCTGTTGGGCAGCTTGTCAGAGAAATTACTTTCAGTGCGCTGATGTCAGACAGCCGAAGGATGGGTTGTGTGGGGGATTTCCTTCGTGTTGGCGCAAGTGTCTCAGTCCAACTAAGCCTTGTTGTGGGCCCAAGTGCAGAGAGCAAAGTTGGTCACCGTTGGAAGAATGAAGTCGATCATCTCAAAAGTCATGCCCCTGGAGATTGTCACCTCAGAGCTTGAGATTCTTCGTCCACAGAACATCTAGCGGAGGAGCTGACTGCGGTGTTCAGAGCCGCGCGCCAGATGGTAGGAGCGCGGAGCCGAAGGACGTTGATGAGGCGGCCTGGGTGTCTCACAAATGAAGTCGTGAGCATGTGCGGCTCGCATCGATGTCTCGGACACCTGGTCCGGGCCACGCTACCATGGGATAAGAGCCAAGGCAGCCAGAGTGGTTCTGCGGTCGATGGTTGGTGGTTGTGCTCGGTCCAGTGAGATGAGTCGATGCTTCCGTGCCAACCAACCATGGTTGTTCGGTCATGGCTGCCAGCAGAGAGGAATTCGCTCGAAATTTGAAATTCGAATTGAAAATTTGATGGTCCCATGGAAGTTGGTAACAGCAATATCTGAACAGATGATGTGTACCATGTCCTGCCTGGACGGTTGAAAGTACCGTTGCGGTCGTGTGACGTCTCACAACTCAACTTTGTTGCCAACCTACCTACCCAAGGTGGTACAATACCTGCTTTGTGCTGTTGAGTCTTGCGCAATGTAGTCCGCGATCGAGGGGCACAGCAACGGCCTTGCTCAGCCCTATCGGCCATACCAAGCCGTGAGCTGAGAATTTATCGAATCTGGGCATCCATGGCGTTGATGCTGAGCAGAAGCGACTGTGTTAGACGAAGCCGTCGTCAGCTACGGACCAACAAGGCAGCCCCATCAGACTGCATGGGGCTCATTTGCGCCGTTCGCACTATTGGATGGCGGACCAGGTACGAACCCCACTGTGGACCCAATCAAATTTCGTGGCGTCGGCTCCCCCTGGCCCAAGGCGGGGGTTGCCCCGAGCCCCACGGGCCAGGAGCCACAAGCGCCGATCCGGCTGGCTCCTGCTGGGCCGCGGGGTTCCGTGTCTTCGAGAAACAACTACGCTGATCAGTCCGCTTTGCCAAAGCGTCGCCCGCATTGAGCTCCATATGCTTTTGTTTCTATTGCTCTTCTTCCACACCACTGTTGCACCCGAGTTTGGTGCTAGCCGTCGGAGCTCTCTTCGCAAGAGAAGACAATGACACGGTGTAATCAGTTCGTGAATCCGGGGAGCAGCTTGGCCGGAGCCGTTGCAACGCCCATCGGACGTCGCTAGCCTAGCGGACTCGGCGTTCTGCAAGTGATCACGCAGTTGGCTAGGCTGTGGAGCATTTCGCTTATCGCCCAAATGGTCAATTGTGAAATCGAGGCGGACGTTTTCAACACCATTCCGTTTTGATTCGAGTGTGAGGGACCTACCAAACGTGAAAAATACCAGTTTGCTTATTACTTGCCTACCGAAGCGTCCGCATTGCTTTGCAATATCTGGCCGCCCCGCGTTCCAATTTGTACCTGCATAACCCGCGCAGAGAAGGTGCTGTCAACTTGACAGTGCTTCGACGGTCCGCCCTCCGCGGTGCGGCAGACGGGATTCATTCCTGATTCCTTTTGAGTTCTTGGCTGATAGTGACGGCTTGCTGGGCTGCAGCACCTGCATGCGCCACGGGGGAGAGAAAACGCCGAACGGTGTAGCAGACGCCTCCAAACGCCACTGTATCTCCAAATTGGGAAGTCCTCGTTTGCTCTTTGGTTGGTTCACGACTGCGAAGAGGTGCTGCAGCGGATTCTGACCGGCGACTAATTCCAATTTCTGGCCTGCGGTTGTCGTGTATCCCTCGTGTGTTTGGCCAGGTGCATGCGCCAGACAGGAAAGACCTCAGCATGCCAAAGTTGTCAGCGCGAAGAGCAGCGCGTGTCAGCAACCAGACCATTGGGTTGCATTCAAGTCGGAAGGCGTTCGATAGACGCACAAGCATGGAGATTTCTACTTTCTCTGCCCTTGGCGCCAAGTAGCATGCCCCAATGGACCCCTGACCCCCCCCTGTTCACCTGGAAGGCAGGTACGACCCCTGGGCGAATCGATGCGTCCAGACTCGACTGGCCGGACGCGACCGACGAGGACCAAGGCCAACGGGCCTCTGTTTTTATTTCGTGAGAGCATTAGTTGGGAGCCCGACCGAATTATCTCGTCATTGGATCCACCGACTGTGTCTCCTCATCAATATTCTCTTGCTCGAAGCAGACCACGGCATTATCAAACAAATTTATATCGCCCAGGCCATCCCCCTCATTGGGTGCGCCCCCTCATTCACGGCACCGCGTTATTTACCCGCCTAGCCCATATTGGACCCCAAGGCCGAGTTGGTCAGGCCCCATCGCATTGGCATTGGAACCTTGACATCGGGGCCTGCCCGGTCACCTGGATGCTATTGTGTCGAAACAAAAAGGCACAATCCGCCATTCCCGTCCCCGACGACGGCCGACTTGAATTCGGATCTCCTGCCCGCCCCGGTCGATCACCGCGAAACGAAACCAGTTGTTCCAGTCACTCGTTTACCCCTGAAGTCGTCTAGCAGAGTGATGTTCCGTCGATTTTCACGATAACTTCCGCAACATCTTTCGCGATGGCCGTATCGTGGAAATCCATCTCCGTCGTCTTGGCATCTCTAGCCTGCCATGCGCTGGCCACGACGACGAGCACCAGCGACCCGACTGAGACCTTGATCATCGACCCTAGAGTACAGTACGAGGATAATGGCGTTTGGACGATGTTGTCAAAAGAGGAGGTTGAGCTGCGGAGGCTGGCGAAACGTCAATTCGAGAACCCCACGCAGGAAGAGAGCGAGGCCAGCGCCACGACGACCTTCCAGATTGCTGTATCAACAACGACGGGATCTGCCACAAAGGCCACGAACGTCCCGACGAGCCCTCTGCCCAGACCGCTTGACAGCAACCTATCAACAAACTTCACCACCAACCAGGATGGTTCCATCCCGTGCCCAAAGTTCATAAACTCCTTCCTCACCGACGAGAGATTTAAGCAATGTTACCCACTCTCGATGCTTCTTCAGGTTGGTAAACACTCCGAGCTTGTACACAGCAGCCTTACTAATACACGCGTCAGGGATCTCGATCGTTCTTCAACGCTGAGAAGTCGCTGGTCAGCACCACGCAGGTCTTGGATGCGACCTGTCACTCGAACTTGACTTACTGCAACGGATACCTGTCGGACCTAGCCAGGACGCTGATCCAGCCCGAGAACTGCGGTGCTGACTTTCAAGCGGGGAACCCCATCGTCCGGAACGCCCACATCGCTTTGGTGGCCTATGCCCCCGTTTACAACGCAGGATGCCTGAAGGACCCGCAGACATCTATGTACTGCTACGCCAATGCCATCACCAACTTTTCCAACCCCGCCAACGTGGTCATCTACTACCTGCCGCTGAACATCTCGCTCCCCAGCACCATCATCCCAACTTGCAGTTCCTGCCTCCAGCAAACTATGAACGTCTTTCAGGCGGCCACGGCGAATCGGAAACAGTTTATTGCGAACAACTACCAGTCAGCTGCTCAACAAATCAACTTGATGTGCGGGCCCAGCTTCGTTGAAGAGCAGCTCGCTGCCGAGATCACTTCTAGCGCCCTTAGAAGCTACGGCATCGGCTCAGTATGGCTGACCCTCACAACAACATCAGCATTAGCGTTACTACCGTTGCTGCTCTGATCGTCTGAACAACTACGACCAAATACTACGGCGCTCTGCGATTCATTGATAACTTCTTGATTTGGCACCGCCGACGAGTGTACGATGATATTTTTACGTCTAAGATCACTCTAGACTTTTGTGTAATCATTTTCTGGCGCTTGATACCCAGTCCTCTTTGGAGCGACAACAGCGGAGAATTACTCTTGTTGCCGCCTTTTCTGCTCTTCAATGTACATATTGACTTTTTACTTGGGCTTTTGGATTGTCCGGTTTGGCAGGAAGACAAAACGTTCGCAAGGTGCCTTTGCGGGCAAAATTGGGGTTCAACTGCCGGGTGGTAGATCTGTTCACCCCTCAGCGGGATGGTATGGTAGGATTCCATGCATTGGAGCCAAATGGATGCGGCGTTTAAAGGGTGTGGAGTTGCCCTTGGATATGGGTTCACGCAGTATGATAAGTAGCAATGTCGAAACTAATGGCATGCGTTGGTAGGAACGGCTCGAGAGTTGGGCCTACAAATAACTGGGGATTACCTATTCTTTACCATTCTCGACTCACGCTTTCAAAGCGATATCACCTGTGAACAAAGTGTGAGGCCAAGAATAAGTATTCGTCTCAACAAATTTCCTGGGTGCACCCTATTCTGCCGACGCGCAAAACGAGAATTCTAGCTTGTCTCAACATAAATCAAGTACGGTCGGATGGTGTAGTTGGTTATCACGTATGCTTCACACGCATAAGGTCCCCGGTTCGAGCCCGGGTTCGATCATAGGTCCTGTTGCAGGACAATCCACTTGTAGTTTTGTCCATTTTACCTAGACGCTGTGATTTTTCTTTTTCTGTGGGTTGGCACAGGTGGACTGCACGCACACAAACACTAGGAAAAAGGGGGGGGGTAAACACGGCCGCACTGCCTGTTGTGGGTTCTTTGACGTGCTGAGACAGTAGGACCTCAAACCCATTTCGGAGGCTAAAAAGAAACAAATCGTTAAAAAATGATTATGTTGCCCCCTGCCTGGATTGAACAAGCGACCTCGCCATTGCAAGATCATCTTCAAGGGATTTTTTTTTACGAGTGGCGCGCTCTACCACTGAGCTAAAGGGGCTTTCGATGTTAATATTTACTCCATAGAGGCTAATGAATCAAAGAATTGGAAGGGTTCCACAAAGTTCCAACTTGCCAACGAGGGTCAACGCTAGCCACCGTAAGGGATGCAGATCGCTTGCTCATGTCAAATGCTAGTTATTTTGTAGATGGACGGTCCTGTCCCTGACTATGCACATGCCAACATCCTTAAGCGCAAGTTCGTCGCCATTCGTCACATGTATTCCAGAGCAGGTCGTCAACTCCAAGCCCTTGCAAGACTCGATAAGATATTCCTGACAAGAAAGCCAACCCGCCACGCCACCTTCAGGTGACATTCACACTCGTTCTGGGCTGAGTGCTGACGAGTCTACGCCATATAAACATACTGCCCATCCTCTCTCTCAATGTAATCCTTTTCAATGAGCCTGTCAAAGTCAGCACATCTCTTCTCACCATTTCACCCGCCAGTTGGTCAACTTACTTCTCAATATTGAGCTTGATATCAGCCGCATCTACCGCCCCGCGGCTCTTCGTCTGATTGATCACCTCTGCCACCAGCTGGCTATGCGTCATCGTCTTTCTGCTCTTCATAATGCGCACAATGGCCGCCTGCGTCTCGAATTGCCGATCTACTGCCACGCGCTTATGCGTATCTTGATTCTCCTCCTTGGTCTCTTTCAGCTGAATTTGGTTGATCTTGACGCGGAACTTCGGATCCGTAAAGGCCTTGTTGACGGTGAAGGTGTCGGTAGGCTTGACGTCGCGGCCCTTGGGGTGCTTGTTGAGGACGCGAACTTTGCCGCATGCTAGACTCTGTAGGGTGCGCTGCAGCTCTGCCCCGAGGAGGCCAGTGGTCTTTGACATCTGCTGGTATGCGAGCACGCCGTCGGTTGGACCCCCTTTGCCTTCGATCTCGTTGAAGAGGAGCAAGACGACGGCTTGAAGAGCGCTGACCACCAGCTCCTTCGGGCCGCGGTCGAACTGCGCCCGTATGACACTGTGCGCGAGATTGTGTTTCCATGTGAGCCTCCGACCAGTGTGCTTCGATTTGTAGTATGTGTCGAACGAATTGATCTGGTCGGCCACATCCTTCGGCAGCAAAACTGGCATGTCGGGGTACGTCGGCCACGCCGCCGCGGATAGGATGCTCACGTTCAAGTCCAGACCGCCCTTGACGCGTCCTGTCCCAGCAAGCCACTCCTTGTAGGACGCCATTTCGTCCCTTCCTAGCTCCTGGTCCTTGAACATCTGCTCAAGGTTATGTGTGAAGCTCGATCCGCACTCGCTCTTGAGCTTCGACAGCATGTTCCTCTCGGCATCTTGACTAGCACTGCGACCCATAAGCAGCCTCCGGGCCAGATCCTTCTTGTAGAATGCCTCAAAGACATCCTTGCCCTCGATAAATCGAAACAGCTCAATGCCACTGTCTAACTGCCGGTCTAATTCTGCGTCCTCGTCGCCGGTGCTTGCAACGCCGCTCATCTCAGCATCAGCCCTATCCCTGCTGTCGGAGAGTAACGTCTTCGGCAGCGTTTTTAGCCCGCCCCGGAGAAGCATATCAATATACTTGGCGATCATCTCGCCAACCTTGGAAGGGCCAGTAGTCCACACTGCCGTGTTCTTCTTGTCGTTGATAAACGACCCGAACGCCTCCCTGAGGCCGTACGTAAATACCTCGTCCTTTGCGAAAGCGTCCCGGATCATAATATCCAGCCACCTCCGCAGTTCCAATAGTCGAATGACCATCTCGTCACCTCTGGCCGTGTCGCTGACGATGGCGGACCCAGTCGTGCGGATGTACTCCTCCCAAGGCCCCTTGAGCTGCTTCTGGATGCTCGACAGCTTCAGCAGATCGTATAGCGCCTTTGCCGACTCCACATCATTTGCATTGAGCAACCTCCCCACGCTGCCGCTGTCGAGCAACTTCGTCGAGTAGTTCTCCACCAACATCCGATGCGCATCATCCCGCAGCTGCCTCTTCGTCGCGCTATCGAAATTGTACAGGTCGCAACGTTCCCCTTCCCGCTGAAGCAGCCTCTCGCAGGCAATGATGTAATCCTTCAAGCCGCTGGAGACGCTCCTGTCTTCCGCGAAGCGCAAAAAGTACTCATGCGACTCGCTCAGAAACCTCCGCTCAAAGAACTTCCCATACACCCCAAACAACCTCAGCATCGCCACCGACTCCTTCAACAACCCCGACTCAAACCTCTCATCACCCCTCCGATCATACTCCACCAGCTCACACACCGCGCTGAGCACCCTCTCCCCAAGCGCCGCCACCTCCAAATCCTTCTTCGACCCAAACACCACCGCCCGAAACAGCCCGATGCCCATATCATTGATCCCCACCGGCGGCTTCCCCCTCCCCACCTTTCCACCCGCCCCCACCAGCAAGTAACTCCGGTCCAGATAACTGTAGACCCACCTGATCTGTAATAACTGCTCGCTCCACCTCTCCCACCGCTCCAACACCGTCCTCAGCACCGCGATATCGCTCCCTCCGCGGATCCCCCCCAGCACCGCCTCGCCGCCCAAGTACACCTCGCACCGCCCCTTCAGCTCATCCGCCAATTCCGCCGCCTCCCCCTTCCGACAGATATCCTCCACGCCGCGATACAACCTCTCCATCGGCTGCGCCGTAGGCCGGCCCAAAAAGATAGCCGTCAGCGCGTTCTGAAGCTCCTCGCGCGTTCGGTTGTAGTACTCGTCCACGCCTTGGGCGCGAGCCGCGGTCGCAGGGCGGAGATTCTTGATGGCTAGCTTGCGGGGACCCATGTGCGTCTGGAGGACCGAGACGGGACGTCGTGCGGTATTGCTGAACGAAGAGGCGGCACCAGGTTGTGAGTTGAGGTCTTGGGTGTTGCCCGCGAGGTCGATGACTTCGGAGACAGGCCGTTTTCCTTGGACTTTGGCGGACATGGTTGGAGTTGGGTTTGCGGCGGCTGGGCGCGGGTGAGGCGAAGTGTGGGATGTGCCGGAGCGGGCGCGCTTGGTTTCGGCGGCGGAGGAGGAGGAAGAGGAGGGCGGCACGGGGTTGGTGGTGGAGTCGTGCCGTCTCTTAGGTGGTTGCGATGTGGAAGGGGTCGAGGTGGCGGATGTGGATGGAGGAGGGGCTGTGGTTGGAGGCATGGACCTGGTGAAGGTCCGCAGAGATCGTGTCTTGCAAACCCGATCCTGCCGCTCGTGGCCTTGTTATTTGAGTCTCTCTTGGGCTTATTTGGGGAACTGCACGTTATATCTTGCGTGCCATGAAGCGGTGTTGAACGTCATCGGTATGCCGTTTGGATTGTGGTTGGTTTTTGGGGTTCATGGCGGAGTTAAGATCGCGAATTAGCGATGGCGGCAGGAAACTCGCAGATACGGGAGCTATCGATAACTATCCGCACTGTGTGCACAGAGAGCTGTTCTCCGCGCCTGCCTTAACACCACTGTGGGGTAATCGTCCGAAAGTGTTGAATCCGCTGCAGGGTGGGGGAGGAGCTTCAACTACATGAAGCACTAGCAACGACTTTTAGATTTCAGGTCATCCACGGATAGCACAATGAAGCCACTATCAATTACAATATATTGAATTCTATGGCCGTTTAGAAGGCATCAGATTTTGTTGTACGACTATATATATATATATATATATGCACAATAAATTACCGTCAAGTAAGTATCTCATGGCCGTCTTTCTCAATACCCCCCTTTCTCACACAGCAGCCGGCCCACAGCGGCGCACTAAGCGTAAGCCGCCCAACCTGCGGATGTCTGTCAGCATCACGATCACCTGGAGGGAAGATGAAGTTTGAATAAACATACCAGAATACAACACCGCCAAGTTCCTCTCGTCTGTAGCCTGGTTGATCAAATCGTTCACCGTCGCCATGACGCTCAGCGTCTTGGACAGCTTCTTGCGCACCACCTCAAGTGCCCTGTCCGCCTCACTAGGTTCGTTCACAGTCCTCTTGTTTTCAACGTCGGCCTGATCATCGCCATTCCCGCTCACATCGTCGCCGGTTCCGTCTGGGCCCGTCCTCGCATTCTGCAACTTGGCCATGCGGACCGGTGAGATGGACCACGAGTACAGCGGATCATATCGCAGCACGTCGAGGATCGCCATGATAGAGTATGTTTCTTCTCGCAGCGCGTCCAATGTGAACTCGCAGCACCTCCGGAAGACGCCCTCTGTCTTGGTAATGCCCATGCCGTCCACGATATCGCGCGTCATCCTGAAGGGCACCAGCTCCGGAACTGGCAGCACTCGGCCCATCTCGAACGCCACGCCCAGATCAATATGAACAACCTCGCCTGTGGCAGAGTCGAGCAGGATGTTGTGACCGTGTCTGTCCCCCACGCCGAGAACGTGCCCAAGGATCGAAATGGCAGCCGTGCTCCTCGTGTAGGTCGTCCGGCGCTTGAACCACTCATCTGGATCAGGGAACCTCTCCATAAAGAAGTACCGCATCACTGGATGGAACTGTTCAATGACCTTGCGGTAAGCCGCGACACGCACGTCGACGGATTTGGTCTGCGCATTGGAAATCTCCTTCCTACAAGAGGAGCCCTTCAGGTCCCTAGGGTAGTACCGCTCGTGTGCTGGCATAAGATACTCGTGGAGGGGAATCGTGTTTTGGACGAATTCGATCAGGCCAGACATGGACGTGAGCGGAAGGACCTTGTAGGTTCTGATCCCCAGGTTCCGTTGCCTTGTTGTTCGGTGCAGTTTTAAAAGCTCCGACACGGCAGCAAAGACCTGTTCCATGATGGCATCTTGTCGGAGGTCATCGTTGCCGCCCTTGACCAACTGCTTGTACCGTTTTCCGTCAGATCCCAACGCCGTGATGATCTTTGGCGCGCTGACACCTCCAGCGATGATCATTTCAGGCTCGAACTTTTGTATTATCGGCACGCTCGAGTAGTCTGGAATCGAGGACAGCTCGAGCTGCATTGTAGGCGGCGGGATGTGGTACTTCGCAAACGTGTTGGCGAAGCTACTTCCGACCAATGACTCCTTGATAGCCAGTCTTTGGCCCT